TCTTCACATATATATATATATATATATATATATATATATATATATATATATATATATATATATATATATATATATATATATATGTATATATATATATATATATTATATATATATACATATATTATATATGTATATATATATATATATATATATATATAATACATATACATATATCATTTGTTTACACATTTTGTAACAAAATAACCATCAAAAACGCTCCATTATTGAAATGTGTGAGATCCTAAAATACCCATCTACAATAAACAAAAGAACTGACATCGACAATTTAAGCCAGGTTTACCGCTCTCTCATCTTACGAAATAAATAATACCAATATTTCTGCGAATATTATTTTTTGCAAAGTTTTTGTGTTCTTTGTTTCTGTTAAATTTTTGTTTAAGTTGATTCTACATTTATGAGTAAACTTAAGTACATAATAATATACAATAACATCTTTAATACTACATATTGAGTTGTAAGTAATAAATTATTAGATCTGTATTTCTTATAAACTCTATGTCATCTTTGTGTTTTAGAGAACTGATGAAGCTTTAGAAGTATAAAGCGAAACGTCTTCTATAAACTTATGAAGTAGTTGACTTCTGTTTTATTTTGCCAACCTGAATGACCGAATAAACCTCTGAATTCACTATTATAGTTGAATTATAGTTGAATACTTTATTAATATAAATTGACGGTCGTAGTTTTTACAATATATATATATTTATTTATATATATATATATATATATATATATATAATATATATATATATATATATATATATATATCTTCTTCTTCTTAGAGTGCCGTCTCCCTACGGAGGTTGGCAATCATAATGGCTATTTTTATTTTAGAACTTGCTGCTCTAAACAAATCAATCGATCTGCATTGGTACCAATCACGTAGATTCTTTAACCATGAGTTCTGCCTTCGGCCAACAAATCTTCCTTGAATCTTTCCCTGTATTATCAGTCTCAAAATTTCATATTTTGGTCCCCTCATCACGTGGCCTAGGTATTCCAGTTTTCTGGTTTGTATAGTGGTGATTAGTTCTGTGTCTTTACCAACCCTCTCCAGTACTTCTTTATTTGTAATTATATCAGTCCATGATATTTTCAATACTCTGCGGTATAACCAGAGTTCGAAGGCCTCGATTCTTTTTAAATTACATTTTTTTAATGTCCAAGTCTCAGCTCCATATAATAATATAATATATATATATATATATATATATATATATATATATATATATAAATATATATATATATATATATACATATATATATATATATATATATATATATATATATATATATATATATATATATATATTTATATATATATGTATAATCCGAATATGTATATAAAGAAAAATATTAATAGAGAAAAAGAAGACCAAAAAATGTTTGTAAAATCATGTTATAGTTATATCATATTTATATATACGGTTTAATTTTGTTGTGTTGTGAAGTTATATTGTTTTGTGAAGAAAGGACACTTTTTCGATTTACGGTTTGCAGTTTTACTTTTCAAATTAGCATTTTATTTAAGATTAGTTTAAGTAAATAAAATGTTATATTGAAATATCAAATCTACCTACATTTTTCAAGGATTAATATCCGTTACCAGGAAACAAGCCATTAGTAGATAGTAGAAAGTCTTTGTCTGATATTTTCGTATAATACACAATTTTTGGGTGCAGACACGAATTGAGGATCAAAATAAAATTTTAAGTAAGGGTTTACCTTTATACCTGAAAAAATCGCGCGAATGGAGGACCAAGACTTCTGATAAGGAAATCATTATACTCAGGTATAAAATATTATTAAAAGTACGAATCTCAATAATCACAATAATTGTTATAATCACAATAACTATTAATTTCACTAATTTGGAACACCTTTCAATACAGCTCAAAAGAAACTAAATCTAAAATAATATTTTAATATTAAATGTTTCTTTACTCATTAAAATCTCGTTCGGTCCGTAATTCGGTGCACTTATTTTGGCTGTTCAGGTAGCGGTCCTCAACTCGAGAACAGCGATTTTTGGAATTGGAATGTGTTGGCTTTTTGGAGAATTGAAAACATATGAATTATGAAATTGGCGTCGTTAATAAAATTTATTTACATATTCGTAATAAAATTCACTAAATATTTTTTTTTTGTTTTAATTAGCTATTTGGATCATAATTACATAATTAATTTAATTATTGTTTTATCATATTTCAAAATTACAATATCATATTAATATATACATATGTATATATACATATATATATATATATATATATATATATATATAATATATATATATATATATATATATATATATATTATGTATGTTTTTTTCACAAAAAGAAAAACATGTAATGTAAATTTACAAAAACTGTTTCTCCTTTATCAAGTTAATATGCTCTTTTCCTAACTTGGCTGCACCGTACTGAAGACGACCAATAGTCAGAAATACCAATACACCATCTTATACACATATATTATTATATATTTTTTTCCTTTGTTGCAATGCCATCTTTTACCTTTATTATTATTATTATTATTATATATATATATATATATATATATATATATATATATATATATATACCCTGTCCATCAATTATCAAACATTACAATGCACATACGGGTGGCGTAGATTTGGCAGATATGCTAGTTGCGCGTTATCGAACACCTTTTAAATGCCACAGGTGGTACCTTTCAATTTTTTCCCAAATACTGGATATATGTGTCAACAACGCTTGGATTTTATATCGCGGAGATAATAATTTACTGGAGGACGAAGAAAATGGTATGGGTCTAAAGGAATTTAGAATATTACTTGTCGATTCCCTTCTATTTAAAAATTGAAAGAGGAGATCCGACGGAATTAATACACCGAAAAAAAAAAGATTCCTACTCACGTCCAGAATATACCTGGAGAAGATGTTAGAAAAGATCTTTTTGGACACTTTTTTGCAACTTTTACAACCAAAGGACGATGTCGAAACTGTTGCAAAGGACAAACAACTATGAGTTGTTCAAAATGTAGAGCGAGGTTATGTTTAGTGGAATCCCGTAATTGTTTTTATGATTTTCATAACTAAATTTTTTAATTGTTTAACAAATTATAATTATTATTTTTTACTTTTATTTTTTGAGTGTTCTAAGTTTTATTTAAAGTTTTGAATTTAAGCTGTAAAAATAAATGTTTGATCATCTTTGTAGTTTATTGAATAAACTAAATGATAAAATATTGTTATGTTACTAAAAGTAAATGATAAAATATTATGTTTATGGTTTAAACCCCTACTTTATGGTATCTGTTCATAATAACTGAAATAAAACACAGTTCCACAAAATGTAGTAAAAACATTAAACATATCTACAATTGTTTTGCTAAAAGTCTTGATAATGCTAAAGACCCTTAGCGAAAAAATTGTAGATTTGTTTAATGTTTTTATTATATTTTGGGAAAATTTGATAATTTCCATTTAATCCAACATTACTTAATATATTGGTCCAAACGACAAATATACGTCTTGGCAATGTATCTTTCTAGATACGGAGGTATTTTTCTAATAACCTGGCAATGTATCTAGTGGTCATCAGTACTTAATTTTATAGTATACCTGGCAATGTGTCTTGCGAGATACATTGTAATATACCGTACGCCTGGCAGTGTATCTTATGAGATACAACGTCAATAAAATGTCAAAAAAATTAAAATAGAAACAAAAATGTAATTGACTCTGAAAATGGAGTCCTCAAAAGATAATATTCAGTAAGCAAAAACATTTTTCTTACAGCGGTTATGTGCGTGCCAAGTTAAGGGTTAACGAAACGTAGACATTAGAATTAATGACATGATCATAATTAACCTGAGATACGCTGATGATACAGTTATTTTAGCCGAATCACATGAAGACCTACAGATACTTCTTAATTAGGTGACCGCAGTAAGCGAAGAATAATATGGACCGTCACTCAACAGAGCAAGAAATATATGATAATAACAAAGACAACTCAGGACATTCGTGAGATATATGTACAAAATCAGCCTATTGAAATAGTAAGAGAATTCAAATACCTAGATACAACTATTAATGAAAACAATGACAGCTCTCAAGAAATACGAATCAGAATCAAACAGGCCAGAAGCGTATTTACAAAAATACAAAGACTTCTCTGCTGTAGAAGTTAAAATACAACTGCTGAGGTGCTACGTGCTATCCGTATTATAATACGGGATGGAAGCGTGGACACTGAAGAAAATTCACGTGAGAAGACTGAAGGCATTCGAGATGTGGATGTACCGAAGATTACTAGAGATATCATGGATAGATGGAATAACCAACGTTGAGGTAATGTGACGAATGCATAAGGAAAGAGAAGTACTAACAATTAAGATCTGAAAAGTGGGATATATGGGTCATGAGATGAGAGGAGATAAATATCTAATACTCCAGATCATTATGCAAGGAAAAATCCAGAGAAAAAGATCCGTAGGAAGGAAACGTAACCCATGTAATAACGGCTCATTTAGAGCCGCTATCTTAAAATTAAAAATCGCTGTGATGATTGCCAACTTTCGACGCGCAGACAGCCCCTTGAGAAGAAGAAGATACAAAAATTCAATAAATAAATCATTTTGTCGTCAATTTCGAATGTTTCCATATTTATAAATTTAATAAACAATATTGTTTACTTTTTATTTTTATTAATATACGAGATTACTCCCTGTGACTTAGTACGATCCTGGAATCTGTCAGATTCTTCAACAATTATATAAAATAATGCTCGACACACCCAATTCATTATATGACGTCATAATTAATGACTCACTGAAAAGTACCTCTGGGATGTACTTTAACAAAATCGCCATATAAAAAACAGTGTATTATAAGAATTAGAGGCTAACCTGGCATATACAAATATTTATAAAATTGAACGAACAAAAAACAGAACAGGTATTAGTATGAAACAAATGTTTGTTTAATACATACCACAATAACAGCTCCCCTTACATTGAGGATATTGGAGTCAAAGTGAAGTCTCTGGTCGACGATAGCTCTCTTTTGTAAATCTTTTGGATACAAAGAATCATTTTTTCCATATTTGGATACTAAATAAGGCATGATAGCATGACTGTCGAATAAAATAAAACCATTGTCGTCCAAAACTGGCAGTGTGTGTTGGGGATTCATCTGAAAAGTTAACAAAACATAAGACGCTGTGTTTAAAAAAATTTAAATTATATATAATTTGTCTTGAACGTATGTATTTTCGTAAAAAAAATATTATCAATTAGATAGAAAAAGATGGTGAAGGTCTTTTAAAATTAATAAATTTTTAAATTTCAGGATAATAAAAAACCAGAAATATTTTTGGCAAAATAATTTTTGTTAAGATTAAAGTAGAGTTAATATTTTTGAAACTTGGATAAAAATAATAGATTTACAGTTTTATTATCAGAAAAATCTAGATTTTAATTTTATAAAATATATTAAAGGATAGCTTGTAGCATTTTCGTCCTACTCCGTATACAGATAACCACATAGTTTTGTTGACCATAGGAATTAAGATTTATTGCAAACCCATCTCTATAGCATATTTATTATAATGCTCTTAAACTAATTTTTTGGTTATTTTTTAGCCTTAATAGCAATATAAATAAATAAGTAAATAAGTAGTACGCTTTATTGTCACTGAAAATTGTACAAATTTTATGGACAAAGCTTATAACAATAAGACAAGGCAAAAGAAAAAAAATCAGAATAAGAATCGTTTGTACTTTTAAATAAATAAAAAAAAAACAATAAAATTCTTCCAAACTTAACATAAAAAATACTACCTATTTAGGAACCTACAAACTTCGTAAAATGTACCTAACAAAAAATAAAAATTAGGAAAGCAGGTTAATTAATTTAGGGCTCAAATATTCCACCTCCTTGTGCTAAACAGTAACCAAATCTGTCATACAGACATATTCTCATATTTTGGAGTGGATCTGGTGTAATGCTTGTAGAGAAAGGAAATATTTTGCCATTAGGTCGACTTGGTTTGAGGCCCTTTTAAACTGATGCCTATAAATGTTTTCTTTGAAAAAACTCAAAAAAAAGAAATCGTTAGGCGCTAAGTCACAGGATCTAGCGGGTTATTTAATTGTACCACCTGTACTTATCAGTCGATCAGGAAATGTTTGATTGAGGGAGCCAATAGTTGCTCTAGAGTTGTGAGCCGAACACCCATCACGTTGGAAATCACCCTAGATGGATAGTGTTATTAATGAAATGAAAATGAAGATTCGTCAAAAATTAAAATATTTTTAAAAAAGTGTACATTTTGATTCTGTTTATCTAACATAAATTCACAAAACTCCATCCGCCTAAAGTTATCTTCCGGAAACAGTTCTTGTGTTGGTTGAATCTTAAAACTGTGATACGCATTTATTTTAAGAACTTGCTGGACATTTCGAGCATTTATGTTAACTTTCCTAGAAATTTGTACACTATTGTAGGGTTCACTAGCTTTCACAAAGGCACAAATATCAATATCACTGTTTTAACGCTCCTCATCAACAGGTCTAACATGTGGTTCGTTATCTTCATGACACTTTTTACAACTGTTTACACATCCCGTAGTTTAAAAATGTTTAATGGTATTTTTAACCATTGTAACACTTAGTAAGGGTCTATTTTCGAAGGTAATAATACATAAATCAATTACTTCGCGTATCGAACGACCGTGAAAATACCATGGTACAAGTTGAACTTTTTCCTGGACGGAATACAACGTAATAGGTATTTTATTAATTATTTGTTTATTCTTTCAGAACTTCGTTTGAAATTTTTAATGTCAATGAAACAGTTACGACAATTCGTACCTACTGTAAAATGAATATAAAGTTGGACACGTGTAACATGTCACGGCGATTGCCATTGTGTTGTATGGTCAATAAAACAATGATGTGATCTGTATGACTTCTGTTGGTATATTGTGATGGATTTAAAACCCTTTTTCATCAAATTTATAGAAGCCAGAAAATATGTTAGATCAGATAAATTATTCATGCTAAAAAATGGCATCAGACACAAGCATGAAATCTTTCTTCAAAACAGTTTCACTGAATGATTTTGGTTCAGGGTTTGTAATAAATATTCACAACTTACCACAGAGGCTTTGAATATTTTTCTGTGGCTTCCAACAACGTACTTGTGTAAAATGATATTTTCAGCATATACAGCTTCAAAAACAAAATACCGCAATAGACTGGATACTAAAGCAATCAAGAGAATTCAACTTTCTTCTTCTAGCAAGTCTAATATTACCCAATTGATAAGTAATAAAAAACAATGTCATGCTGTATTTACCTTTTTAATACGAATATTAATTAGCAATACACATATAGGTAATTGTTTTTGCTTTTAGTTGAGGGCTTTAGGGTTTATGATTAGATAATTTAGTATTTTAAAAGGATTCGGTCACCAAAAAAGTTTGAAAACCGCTGTCCTAATTTAACAAAAACTAGTTAACTCTTCTAATAGAGAAAGAGGGAGTGTAATTAAAGATTAATGAAAAACATTCACATTGTGTTTAGTATACTGTTTGGTAATTTTAGTTTTAAACGCGTTTAAATAGTTTTTTAACGAGATGAAATTTCTTTAATATATTTCTGTCAATAAATGTGTTTCTCACTTTGATAATTTGGTAAAATCAAGCTCAGTAATAAATTACGAGCCATCGGAAAAAAAGTAATTAAAGCAGGCAGTGGAATAAGATTTTATTACATCGAAGGGTTAGTCAATCTCACATAAACAATTCATAATACTGTCCTACGTTTGGATCATCCTCCATATTGTCTGGAGTTCCGGAATAAGCTCCAGCCGCAAATGGTGAGGAGGAACCAAGGTTCTTCGGTTCCATTCTCTGGTAAATTAAGAAGTAATCGAAAAGTGTTTTCGATTTACGCCGATAAAAGATTCACCGGGGGCGCTGTTGTCAACAAGGTGCTAGTGGCAATGTTAAGTACTTTATCAGTTCGAAATTTTTTACTTTTAAATATATGAGGAAAGACAGTTAAAATTTGATTTCACGTATATTTGTTTCTGTATATTCGCGGAAAGGAATCATCGGAGCGAATATTTACAGATGCTCTGAACGTGAAAACAATATTTTCTATCGAAAAGGAAGCAACGCTAACATGATATCTGTATGGATTCAATAGCGACATCTGATAATAAATTACGAAACTAGAAATCCGAAGGTTCCTAATTGTCGAAACCAAAATCCAGATTTTTCTGGATAACCTAACCTAACCTAACTAAATCTACCCTAAGCGAATATACAGAGGTACTAAACGTTAAATCAAATCGTAACTGTCTTTCTTTTCATTTCAATATACTCTTTATGAGTACGAGAAACCAATTTGCCAAGGATTTTTGCTTAGTTGAGGAGATATGTTGCGGAATGTAATTTAATATTCTACATTTTTCTATTTACATCTTTATTAACGTGTGTTTTGCCTTGAAATTCTCAGAAGGCTACATTAAAGCAAAAATCTGGATTTTATTTCGACAATTAGAAATCTTTCGATTTTTAGTTTCGTGATTTATTTAAATAAATATTTATCTTACATGAAAGGTTTATTAGTACAGTAACAGAGCTGTCGGTTCCTCAGGCACTCGATGTGTAATAGAGATTACTCTTCTCGATATATAACAACACCGACAAAATGCCGGTTTCCTACACTTCTGATTGTGTTTATAATATCAAAGGCATGAAACTTTGTATTTATCCAAACAATTAAAAGAAATATGAAACTGTTCTTGTTTGAAAACCGGTGTCAAGATAAGGAAATAGCTTAGGTTTTAAAACGCAGAATAGTTAAAAAAGGCTACTCAGCCAACGGTAGAAAGGTCAAAAGGTAGAACGACTTGGTCCCGATCTTAAGACGCCTTATTATGCGTTTCTTGATTGCACCTCTGCAGCGAGCTTCCTTCAGAAGGCCAATAAAAACGTTGGTAATGAAACTGTTATTGACCGGCCATAGTGACAATCTTTGCTGTGAATGGCGACTCTGACGACACACGTTATTTTATGCATTTGCTCGTTGTATGTACGCAGCGATCTTCCGTTGGAGGGCCAATACAATTATTGGATAATAAAACTGGTTGTAATTGGCCGGTCAGAATGACAATCCTCAGAGTGATTGGTCCACTCTGGCGACAATACATCTAAATAAATATTACATAACCTAACTTATATATATATATATATATATATATATATATATATATATATATATAGAAAAGAAATTTAATCTTTGCAGATAAGTTAAATAGTAAACTCTTAAATATTGGGGAAATCTGCAAAATGCAGATTTCCCCAATATTTAAGAGTTTACTATATATATATATATATATATATATATATAATATATATATATATATATATATATATATATATATATATATATAATATATATATATATAGTAAACTCTTAAATATTGATGCATTAAAATGCATTTTGCAGATTTCCCCAATATTTAAGAGTTTACTATATATATATATATATATATATATATATATATATATATATATATATATATATATATATATATATATATACATATATATATATATAGTAAACTCTTAAATATTGGGGAAATCTGCAAAATGCAGATTTCCCCAATATTTAAGAGTTTACTAAATATATATATATATATATATATATATATATATATATATATATATAGTAAACTCTTAAATATTGGGGAAATCTGAATTTTGCAGATTTTCTCCAATATTTAAGAGTTTACTATATATATATATATATATATATATATATATATATATATATATATATATATTTGAACATCCCATTGATTTACAATCTGTAATAAGGATTACAATAAGTAAATTGTTTAACTAGATTACAAGAGACTTGTACAAGACTGTCCAGTGATAATAGCCTATTAGATCATAATTTTAGTAACAAAATTATTTGTGACTCTAATATGTTTATAATAAATAAAAAAAATTTAATTTAAAAATTTAAAATCTTGTTGGTAGATCGCTTGGAGTAAGACGCTTTAGCCTCCTGTTATTGTTCTTATGAGGCCTGGGGCTCATTAGGTTCTTTGGGCATGTATTCATTGGGCATGTACCAGGGTATATTTGTGATAATGCGGAAGGTCTTCGATTT